CCTCTTCCACGAGGGCAAAAAGAAAAATCAAAGACCCAGTCTTTCTCTTCACTTCCCAATCTCTAGATGACAATCCTTCTCCAATTTTCTTAACGATTACATTCATTTTTTAGATCGAAAATACACACAAAAAAATATCATTTTTTCTTGAAAACACTCTGTTTATTATAATGGAAGAAAATCTTGAACTAAGTCTTTTATGTACAGAGACCAACCTTGATGATGATGATGAAGAGGCAAAAGGCATGATTTTTGAGAAAATTCCGATTGTTGGTCGTCGTGAAATTTCGATTTCTCAGATGGGTTTTCCATCGGAGAGCGAGGAGATTATCAGAGAGATGATGGAGAAAGAGAAGCAGCATTTGCCTAAAGATGATTACTTCAAGAGACTTACAAGTGGAGATTTGGATTTGAATGTCAGAAGAAGACAAGCCCTTAATTGGATTTGGAAGGTTTGATTTTGTTTTATTTTTTATTGAATTAATGATCTGAACATAAAGGAGTGTGTTTATTATGTCTAATAAGATCAGCGGCTTATTGCAGAACAAAGGAGATAACTTTTTTTCTTTTTGGTCTTAAATCTGTGAATCTGATGCTCAATTGAACAATAGAATCTCAGAGTTTTAGATCTCTTATTGATGTTTCTCTTGTTATGATTAATCACTACAGGCTTGTGAAGAACACCAGTTTGGACCATTGTGTATTTGCTTATCAATGAACTACTTGGATCGATTCTTATCGGTTCATGATTTGCCTGTAAGTTCACATTATTGATTCAACTAAAGTCTTAATTTTGTAGAGTATTATTGATTTGATGATTGTTCTTGTAGAGTGGCAAAGCTTGGATAGTGCAGTTGTTGGCTGTTGCTTGTTTATCACTGGCAGCTAAAATCGAAGAAACCGAAGTGCCAATGTTAATAAATCTTCAGGTGCTATTAATTAATCTCTCCCACAAAGTTCGCTAAATTGTCGAAAATGCTCTTGAAATCGGTTGCGGGTTTTGGTCACATTTGGGAACAGGTTGGAGATCCTAAGTATGTGTTTGAGGCTAAATCAGTACAAAGGATGGAACTTTTGGTGTTAAACAGATTGGAATGGAGATTAAGAGCGATAACTCCGTGCTCATACATAAGATATTTCTTGAGAAAGATGAGTAAATGTGATCAAGAACCATCAACCACATTGATATCCAGATCACTACAAGTGATAGCTACCACAACCAAAGGTGGAAAAAAGTCTCTCCTTTATGTTTTTGTGCTTTTTTTTTGGGTTTCTATAACTTTTGCTTTTTCATGAATTTGGGTGAAAAATTTGGAGTATAATGGTGGTTGTGTGTGAGTGAAGCAGGTATTGACTTATTGGAATTTAGACCTTGTGAAGTTGCTGCTGCAGTGGCACTTTCTGTTTCTGGAGAATTGAACACAGTACACTTTGACAACTCTCCTCTGTTCTCACTACTTCAAAAGGTAAAAAAAAAAACAATTCCACCAAAAATCTCAAACTCATAAAAATCTTCTTTTTTTTTAACATATAAAAGGTGTTCAATTTCAAGGAAATGCCAGTTGTGGAGAAATTTGAAATCATTAAAGATAACACATTTATATATATATGTGTATGTGTGTGTGCACTAACTAATTATTATTAATGCATTGCATACACATGAGTAATTATTATTTATTTTAAAAAGTAAAAACAAAAAAAAAGAGAAACTGGTTGTATATAGGGTCTGAATCCTTTGACTTCCAAAACTAGTGGAGAGTATAGACCAAAGACCACTTTAAAGTATTTTATTCTGTAGCTGTGTCTCTTGTGACTCTCTCTCTCTTACATACACACTTCACTGCACACTCTCTAGTCACATCTATAACCAAATACCCCCACAAAATCATGTTGTGGTATGGTAATCTAAAAAAAATCAGACTGGCTTCCATTTAGATCCCTTTGTGATTGTGTTCAAGAGACAAAACAAAGTGTTATGCTTTACACTTTTTGTTGGTTCTTATAATTGTTTAAACTATGTTGCAGGAGAGAGTGAAGAAGATTGGGGAAATGATAGAGAGTGATGGTTCAGGTTTATGTTCACAAACACCTAATGGGGTTTTAGAAGTATCAGCTTGTTGTTTCAGCTTTGAGACTCATGATTCTTCTTCTTCTTCTCATACACATCTTTCTTAAATTTCTCTGT